GGGGGCGTGTATTACCGTCACCCATGTCAGTCCGCCCACAATTGCTCGTAAACACTTTAGAAGGCACAATTCTTGACGGGTTTTAACGAAAGTTGGTATGAGACGTATGAGTGTATATAATCACCCAAGGATGAATCATGCCCTTGTTCTAGGGTTAGCTCATAAACACTCTAGAACCGGTGTTCTTTTCTTTGGGTCGCGGACTAGTCTGAAAACTTTTTGAAAATTGATATTGTTTGTGAATATCCTTAAAAACTCTTGGGGAAGGACCTCCCTCCTTTGTTTCAGATTGCTGGAAATGACGCTTACAGGCTTATCATCCTTAAATAATTCGCAGCACATTGCATTTTCCAGACTGAATTTTATTCTTAGAAGATAATTTTAGAAGCTGAATTATTTCGGTTCAAGATCTCGAAAAGATGAAAATGGAGATTTCGACACCTCAAAATTGTCAGAAATGGTCTGTCCGGGCCTTTATTTTTCTTGGGGGAGAGCCCCCATACGCAACCATCACATTGATCAAAAATTGAACGATAATGTAATATAAATGATAATGGTGATATTACAATAAAATTGAGTATAACGCGAAACTGTATTTTTACTTTGAAGGGTCGCGATCTGATGCCGGTTTCTGAAATGGGGTCGCTTCTTCGAAAAGGTGCGGAACCTCGGCTAGAAGGTACAATTCTTGATGGATTTTGATGAAACTTGAAAATTAGATAATTCGAAATATATTAATGAGTTATTGCCCTTGTTTTTGGAAACGCGTTCAATTTCGACGGATAATGACGAAACTTGGTGAAATTATTTATTATTGCGATTTGAAAATAAAAAAAATTGTTATTGACCTAAATCTTGAAGCGTTCAATTTTTTAGCTCTTAAACACTGAAAGGCTCGATCCTCGCAAGATTTTGACAAAAATATTAATATTGTTCATTATCACCTCAAATTGTGATTGTGATTGTTACTGTACTACCATATATATTTATTAAAAATCAAAGCTACCAGTGGGCGTACATTGACTGGAAAGAGACGTCAGGTTCAGCAACACAACACAAAACAAATCATCAAAGACAGTTGTATTGCTACATTCTAATATTGGTAGAATGATGTTATAAAGGTTTTTACATAATAATTGTTGCAAACATAATATAATATATGAGATCTGAAAGAAAGAAGTTATTTTTTGTATTGATATGACATATACTTACTTGGTAAAGTCTTCAATATACCAGATTCATTGTCAATATAAATATAGTCAGTTGATCCATACTTATTTCTAGACAATAGTCGTATATAGTAGAGAGTATCTGGTTCAAGATCTGTTATACAATACTCAACTAGAACTGAATTGTCATTATACAGTTTGGTATCTAAAGATGAATCTACCCAAGTAGAACTATCTGTACGATATTCTACTACAAACTCCTGTACTGCTCCTCCATTAAACCCTGGTTTCCACTCAACACAAATTCTATCCTTAGTAACGCTTGCTATCTTGAAACCAGTACCTTTATAAGGAGCAGCTAAAATAACAAAATAATATCCAGATGTTTAAAATAATACCTCATACACTTATAAGTAATGGAATAGAATTGTAAGTACTTATTAAAGGCAATACAATATATGTTTTCAAATCGAACTGGAAGCGTGCTTCAATTATTGCTACATATAAATACACTTTAACTTCAGAATTAAATTCCAATATAGTGTTCGCTTTCAAAAATGCATTTAAAAAAATGTATTTACATTGTGAATGAAGCGAAGTTGTAATCATATCAACCCATTTACCACCATTCTGAACCTTTAGTTTATAATCTCTATAAAATGTAACATCATTTATTTTGAATTCAAACAGACTTTTAAAAATCATTGTATCTAGTTGTATATTCATGTCTTTAAATACACTATTATTACTGATCAAGGTTATTTTGTTGTTCTCCAGATAGTACCATTGGAATGACGGTTTAGGATAGGATATTATTTGAACTTCAAATCTAATTATTTCATTCATATCTCCTATTATTCTAGTTGTTGAAGGTATTCGACTATCCAGTCTCGGAGAACCTGTTAAAAAAGGAACAAATATTGAAATAATTCATTTCTGATCAAATTTAATGTATGTCATATACATTTTACATAATAATCCAATTATGTTTTTGGTACCATGCCTTCTAGGTACCAGTTAAAAGCACTTTGCACCCTCTCGCCCATCAATGAGGAGGATGCTTCGCCAACAAAATCGACTGAGATGTCAAAATCCCTCGCTGATACCTTAAACATTTTGCACACTTTAAAATGTCCAAATAAAAACCGTGGGACCTCCTATGACGTTCGTTGATATCAATAAAGGATACCAATTCGCAGAAATTGGGAAGGTGGGAAGCTGGAAGTTAAAAATCAACGTCTTTTCTGGATACATAAACCGTTGATAAATATAGGAAACGAAAAAAAGAACTTACAAGTTACAAAAACTGATGTGGTTTTAGTATATTTTCGCACAGGAAATTTAGAATTTACTAATTTACAGGAATATTGCCCTGTGTCGAGACAATCAGCATTTTCTTTAACCAGAGAAGCTTGATTTGTATCACTGTTGGTTTGGATTACATCACTTCCGTTAAACCATGTGATGGAAGCTCTAGGATTACTTTCGGTAGAACATGTTATATTTAATTTCTCATTCTCGGTAATTGTTTGATTTCTAAATGATATATTCACTGGGTCAAAATCTGCAACAACAAAAAAACACAGTAACAAAAATACAATTCTCAACTGACTACTAAATCAAATATCTATTTAGTTCATTGTGACTTCCACGATAATAGCCCATAGACAATTATTGTCAGGTCTATGATTGAAATAAACTTAGATTAAATATATATATATATGTTTCTTTTGTAACATTTCTGTGGGTTACTACACTTTCCATCATTGATAAGACGAGATTCTTCTTGAAGCCGTGTTTTAAGGAATTGTGAAAAAACCGCATCAAAAGTTATTTTTGCTAACCAATCAAAAACAGTATTCAAAATGGCTTTTCGTGGAAAAATGCTTAACTTGATTTTAATAATATTAAAGGAACAATCTTTCGACATAAAAAGCAGGATTCATGCCATTCATTTTCAAGGTTTCCCCAGTGGGAAGACTTTCTATGATGGTTGCACCTACCACCGGTCACGCAAACACGAAGCGAGCACGATTTATTTTCTTAAAACTGAAAGAGTGTAGTTACATTAAACCATTTTTACTAAACACAAAAAGATCCAGTCTAGCTGAGATAGCAGCTAAGAACATACTTTATGCCGAAATACCCCCAAGCTTACGGAGTGTCTCATTAGCCGATTAGTATAGAACAATCTAACCTCTAGCCCATTGGGCGAATTATTATTTTATCTAATTTCAGATCAAAACAGAATAAAACTATCCAGAAGTTCAAGACTGATCATTCTAAAGTCTAATCTTCCACCCTAGGTCTGTACATTTTGGAGAATAAAACCGTCCCTACCAGAAATTTAATTGATAGATTTTTCAAATTTAGGAAATTCTATCGTTTAAATGCACGGTAAGTAGTAGTTATATACATGGTTTTCGAGGTGCATGGGCTTATACACCTACTCTTTTTCGAGTGAGGCTCCGATGTAAAGCCGAGGAGAATCTCACTCGAAAAAGAGTTGGTGTAGCAGCCCATACACCGATTAAACCATGACATTTACAACATAGATAATTAAATACGGATAATAATTTAATTAATTTGAAAGAAAATAATTTGAAAAGTTGTGAAATCGCCCCGACAGAGCCCCACACAACTTGAATGAACAATTATCAATTGATGTATTAACGCTGAATTTCATGACCTGAAAGGCACGTCCAGATTTCTATCAATGTTTTGATTGGCTACTAATAATGGGTGAACCAATGAGTTCACAGGACATTTGATAAATAGATCTCAACACCATTTGTGGAAGAATATGACACGAATCGAGTCTTATTTTATCTTATCTATATACCAGAAACAGGAAATATTATTTTACCATGTGATATGGAAATCAGAAGACCAGATAAGTTTTTTGCTGCTTGTTTCCCCTAGAATACACACATTGGATTAATAGAACTTGGTGAACCTTGTAATGTGCTTATTTTTTGAAAGGATTATCGGTGGGATTATTGTGAATTTTGTGGAAAATTATCAAAAGAAGGAGGATTGAAAAAAACAGGAGAAAAAAAAAGAGCACTATGTTTGAAAGACAGACAATGAAGAAACTCTTCCAAAGATAAATTTTAATAAAGATTATGAATTAACTGTTATTTTTATTGCATCCCGCCATTTTTGGGGGCAAACCTAAACTTTTCAGATACTCAGCGGCATACAATTCACAGAAGTGTAGATGTATCGGAAAAGTGTAGGTGTATCACGAAAAGTGCATGTGTATAGGATAATAACTTACTCTAAAGATAATATATTATATTATATAGGCTAGTTAATAAATGCATTATAATTACACTATATTATAATTGTTATAATTATGAAGTAAATGCTTTAAATTGTTACTTACAGTATACAGTAACATTAACCTGTTCACCATGTTGTTTAGTAATATTAAGTTCACTAGAAATTAAAGTTGTAGAAGCATTACACCAATAAATACCACTCTGATTTCTCAATGATATTGTCAAGGGTTTAGTTGCTAACTGTGTTGTATTATTAGGTTTATACCATAAGAATCTTGTTGGTGAAGGATTGGAATAAACAGAACATGTCAATTCAGTGGTTAATCCTTCCTTAATCTCTAAACTGTCTGTAGATATAGTTACTCTTGGACCATCTGCAATATTTTAATCGATATTTAACTTTACATTTTGTTTTATTTCTCTAGATGGTACAAATTACGTTGACATCTCTCCGGATGGTCCTAAATTCGCCAATGATCGTTAGTAGTTGGTTTAATTATTGATACTAAAATTTTAAGAACAGGTATCAGAATCTATTAATTAAGCTCTATCTGCTTGTAAATTTAAACATATAAGTATATACATGGAAAGGTGGAAAATGTAGAAGAAATACTCCAGATAAAATTTGAAATATCAACTTACTTCCACATATTACCCCAGCATCTTCATTATGACTACAAATATGATTTCCAAAACCAGAGTGCCGACATTTATATAAGTCAGATTCTGTTCCATAACACCGTAATCCATTTAACCATATCTTTCCGGAACCTTGACCAAAGTAGGCAACAGACTTTGGTATAGCTCTTGTTTTAGACAGGAAAAAATATACTAGATTAAGAGTTAAGTCTTGAAATTTTAATTGTTTAATTGTGCTAAAATATCGATAATTTTTATCCTATTATGGAAATAGTTAATTCTCGGATTCAGAGGTACAGTGTAGAAGCTGTATGTAAAACATAGGTAACAATATAGGTTGCAATATACAGGTGACCTTGGCTGGAACAACTATAAATAACACTGTAAATATACTGTGCATGTATTTTGTAACTGCTTACGAACTTAGTATACGACAATATAATAAAAAAAACGGACAAGTTGTATGTAGTCGGTTTTTTGAAGAAACCCAATGGGAAAAGGGGGCGAAATAAATGCCGAGTTATAATTTGATTAAATTTCGTCCTATTGCATACTTACATATTGTTACCTAATTGTCGACATACAACTGTGGCATCATTTTCATCCCAACCATCATCACATACAGTTCCCCATTCACCATTATAATAAACTTCAACTCTTCCTTCTCTTGAATTTGATCCGTTCACAAGTCTCACATTAAAAGTTGTTGCTAAATATATTATAATGGAATATTCGGTAATCTTTTCTAAACTTGAATCCGGTTCACTTGGTTTGTGAATTTTACAGAATGACTAGCATATTTTTATTCAGCGTTGTAGAATAATAAATAAAAGCTATCAAATTGTATAAATATAAATGGGTGTCTGTTGCTCATCCCAATAGTAAAGACATTAATAACAAAACCATACATATTTAACCCCCACCAAGAACCTCAAAAACCCAAAACACACACAAACAAAAGCCATATCAAATCGACGACGTCTTTCACACCGAAGGCTAAACGACCATACGCTTCTGAATGAGAATGGTTAAAAATCCAGTTAACCTACCGACTAAGTGGACGTGAAATATACTAGTTGCTGAATAGAAAAAAGCGACTAAATGCTTCAGGACGGGTTGATAGGATTCGCAACTAACCTCTCACAACAACAATATGTGAATACAATACAATATAACATGAAAATCGACATTACAGATATTATATTGGCTTATCAAATTTAATTGAATTTAAGAATTACTTAAAAGCATATTGCAGATGCCCACTATATTAACTATGTGTTAGAAAACTATGAGATATAAAGTGTGACCAGTTCGTTGACGATGTAGTTCGTTGTCCTGATTATTATAGGATTATGACAAAGATTGAAAACATCTCATCATTAGGTCTATTACGAACTCATTATTGTAAGATAAGGCAAGGTAATTTCCATTCATACTTGTTAAAACGTTTAAATAATTCTATATCATCATACCTTCACATATCACTCCAGCATCTTCATTATGACCACAGTTTTCATTACCAAGACCAGGATGTTTACATCTACCTAGAGTTGATTCGGTTCCTTTACAACCCACGTTATCTAACCATATTTTCCCTGTTCCTTGACCAAAGAAGGCTTTTGTTTTAGGTATAGCGTTTGTCTCTGACCTGGAGTAAGATAAATTTAAGTAAATTAATACAAATATATATATAAAATGGCTGCTTATATAAATATCAGTGAGCGAGTACAGATAAGAGACTGTCTTGTCTGCTCAATTTTGTTATCTCGTGGTTAAATTGTTTTATTATTCGAAAACATTAACCTTAACCATTAAAACAAGCCAATGTCAAAAGATAGACAAAACATTTGATGTCTCCTTTGATCAACTCGAGTAACTTTGTTTCCCTGTTTGTACGAAGCATAAGTAACCTTGTTGTAATACATGTTCCTTGTAATTTGATTCTAACAAAAAAATTCCATATGGAAATTATGCACTATATCTGTCTCGACTTACATATTATAACCTAATTGTTGACATACAACTGAGGCATCATTTTCATCCCAATCATCATCACATACAGTTCCCCATTCACCATAAAAAACTTCAACTCTTCCTTCTCTTGAATTTGATCCGTTCACAAGTCTCACGGTTGCATGTAATTCGGTGTTAGTTGTTGCTAAATAATTATAAATGAATAATCAGTAACCTTTTTCGTGCATCAAATGTTGCATGGATCAAATTCACGTTAGCTTTTAATTGTCCGTTGATAAATCTACAAAACAAACTATAACATACTCTATAGGTGATAAGAAAGAAGGAACGACCAGCATATTATATCATTTGTCTAGTGGGAATTAGCAAATGTTAATTAAAAATAGAACAACAAAAGCCTTATGAAAAAACGTCTGCGGTGTTCTTTTTATAGAAATTTGTTCCATACAATACAAGCAAAAAAAAATCAAATTCGTCTGATTTTTAATAATAATAATGATTATAATAAACTCAAGAACAAAGACTATAACTAAATATGTAAATATTTTTTCGATTTTTCTGATTTTCTATAGAGTTCACCCTTGGTTACAAACACTCCCACTAAGTTTCGTCAAAATCCGTCAAGAACTGTGCCTTCTAGAGTGCATACGAGCATTTGTCCGTCGGTCCATCCGTCCACAATTGTTCGTATACACTCTACAAGTCACAATGCTTGCCTCGCACAAACACTCTACAAGATACAATTCTTGACGGATTTTGACAAAACTTGGTGTGAGTGTTTGTAATCACACAAGGAAGAAACCTGTTGAAAATCAGAATAATCGCATAATATATAATATGAGTTAGTGCCCTATAGTCCTAGTTCTTGAACCCCATTGAAAATCTGAAACGTTGAAATATATTTAGTATGAGTTATTGCCCTTTTTCCTGAATTACTCTGGAAGGGACAATTCTTAACGGGTTTTTTGAAACACGTTCAATTTTCAGCTCTTAAACATTCCATATGGCCCAATATGGTATTCAGTTCAGTTTCATCCCAACAAGTTCAAAAGAAGTGTAAGACAGAAGGATATGAATATTTCACACTGGTGATTATTACAGTGCTGCCAAATATTTTATTTCAAAATCAAAGCCGTCAGTGAGCGTAAATTACTTTGCTTGACAAGCTGTCTTTATTTGTCAAACATTTAAATGGCCAATATGAAGTCTTCTCTCTTTGAAAACAAATTGTGCATATTACGAAATTTAAAGTAAGACATGCTTTGGTGTAAAACAATTAGTAACAAAGATATCTAGCTGTTACTGAAAGATTATATCTGAAAGGATAAATAATGGGTTTTCCTTCTGTCTGATAACAGATCTGTAATGATATTAGACAAAATGTAAGTTCTAAAATTATTTAAATGCACATTATCTTGTATTAAAACTTCACATGGGGACCTACAAATGAAAGAATGGTAAACATTAATAGAGTGACACTTATTGTCATGACAGAATTGCTGTAAAAATGGTTAAACTTGTTGCACCTCATCTGGAAATTAATGGACTTAATTCGGGGAATACAGAACCAACAAAAAAATTGATATCGTAATAGTTGGTTAATAGTTTTCAATAAATCCTTATAGGCAATTACACATTCTTGAAAGGTCGGTGATTTCTTGCTGAATTTCCCCTACACGGAGCACAATGTTTTTGATAGAGAAACTTCTCCAAGTAATTATAATAATCTTTGTTTTAGTTCACTTGTAGATCCCCTGATGGTATCGATGACACATAATTATTGTCCTAAGTTGTCCGATATTCGTAATGGAGAAAAGGACTTCACTCGAGAACGTCCAATAATAGATTCTGCATACACGATTGATCTTTGAATGGGAGCGTTGTACAATAATGGGTAGTTGACTTCTAAAGGTTCTTTGCTTCTTAATCAGTTTATTTACTTTATCAAAATTAATAGAGTAAACAAATGATTCGATAATATAATATTCCGTTGTATGTATTGTACAACTACTATAGTAAATCCCATTTTGTGCAGGATTTTACTTCTAGTTTGTCCAGAAAAAAAAATTGGATATCCTCGCAACATGCACTGGACCAGTCAATGAATATCAAACATTTATAATATTTTAAAATGGTCCATAATATTCACTTTGTTTTATTAAAAAACATATCAGACGATATAAAAAGCGAAATTTGTCTTTTAAATAAATCAGTGCTGTTAGATTTCCGCGAAGATCTTAAACTATTCTCATTAGGTTTAAAATCGACTCACCCAAACAAATCACTCCAGCATCGTCACGATGGCGACAATTTTCAATGCCAAAACCAGAATGTTTACATCTACCTAGAGTTGATTCTGTTCCATTACAATCCACGTCATCTAACCAAATTTTTCCCGTTCCTTGACCAAAGAAGGCTTCCGCTCTGGGCATAGCGTTCGTCTGTGACCTGGAAAAAAGAAAGATAAATATATATATACGACAGTGTCTTAAACATCGCATCGCATTTTTTTTGCTTGTGTTACGGTGGTAAGCTTGTAATTCTCGCCAAATGGTAACGGATAAACTTGCTCAGGTACCAAAAATTTGCTTTTTACAAGAAAAAAAAGATTTTGAAAAATGTATGAAATTATTAAAATTGAAAGTTAATAATGAACCATTAAAAATATAGGAATAAATTTTACACTAAACAAAATATAAATTTGAATTTTGAAAATGAATTGAAAAATATTGATACAGTTATTTCAAAATGGAGTTCAAGAAACCTTACTCTTATAGGAAAAATTCAAATTATGAAATCCTTTATGTTACCTAACATTTTGCATCCATCGAAAGCAATATATGTACTAAAAAAAATAATTAAAAAATTCAATGAAAAAGTTTATCAACTTCAATGGAATTGTCCAGTCAAAAAGAAAATAGTAAATCAAGATTATACAAAATTGAATTTGATCGATCTTCATTTATTTCTAAAATGTCAAATTATATTTTGTATAAAAAAAAGTCATCAATTTGTTGTACACCTTTTAACTTCATTCTAAAAAATTACGGAGGTCAACTACTTGTTGTGTGTAATTATAACAAAAACCTAAAAATTAACATATCTTTCTATAATTAATTGCTTGAGGACTGGAAATATACTTATACTAGAAATATTGATAATCTTAAGAATCAAATGATATGGAATAATAAAACATCTTATTCAATACTTATGATTATAACTTATTCACGAAAGGTATAGTTCATGTTGCTGCTCATACAATACCTGCAAATTTTACTTTGTTATCTTATTATACAAAACTTCAAAATCAACTAAAGAAAATGACAATATATTACAGCCTATCATTTTTCAAAATATATTAGATGATATTGGCAACTTGATACAGAATATATAGTAAAACATTAGACATAATTAAACCTAAGGATGTATATGACAACTTGATCAAACTTGAATATTTAACTCCTAATTGTAAAATGGCAAAATCTCCCAGAAAAACGAATCGATTACAAATATGTCAAAGATTTACCATGAACTTTACCATTTGTTCCAATTCAAAGCTACGAATTTAAATGGAATTTAAATTTGCATTTTGGAATTGTGGACAAAACGAAATTTAAAATCAATCCACAATGGCTCTTTGCAAACCATTTCATATAATATTTAGTAAAATAAAATGTAAACCTTCAAGTATTAACCCTAGTAAACTTGACCTTTTGTAGATATTTAAATAAAATAAAGAACTTAGAATTAAACACATTCCCTGATTCAAAAGTTTACACTGAAAAATGGAAAAATATACAAGCTGTCACTATACTTCTTAAACAACGTGTTTTTATATATTAAAATATACGGGATCTATAGTTTGTTATATTTGAAACTCTACCTATATTTATGTTTGTATGATATATACGTATCACTAAGTCACATTTCATTTTATAATGTAACATGTATAATTTGTAAGTGTACCTGTTTAATACAGAATATCTAAAAAAGAAGAATAATCTTCATATGAGAAACATCCACTAGGTCTTTCTCGACTTACATATTGTAACCCAAGTGTTGACATACAACTGAGGCATCATTTTCATCCCATCTATCATCACATACAGTTCCCCATTCACCATTATAATAAACTTCAACTCTTCCTTCTCTTGAATTTGATCCGTTCACAAGTCTAACATTAAAGAGCCATTCGGAAATAGTTTTTGCTAAATAAAACGTAATTGGGACAATCAGTAAGCTTTTCCGTGAAACTAGAACTTGGATTAGGTTCACGTGATCTGTCATTTTGGCTGAATAACATAAAACAATGACTAGGATATTGTTATTTGTAAAAATTAGAAAGTATCAAATAATAATATAACTGAGAATCATGTTACATATTAAAATCAGATTCTTATCACTTTGTGAGGTTATGGTAACGTCCACAGGACAAGATATTGGATATTGAATATCAAACAACGACAATTTATTCAGAAATAAATACAATTTATGTATCTGTAAATGGTTCACAATCTATACTGTTTATAAAAATCAGATTCTATAAAATGTGGGATCCTGTCCTGGGTGTCTAAGGATTTCTACAAAGATACAAAAATCATCATTAAGTTTAAAATTTACTCACTGGCACATATCACTCCAGCATCATCAGCATGACGACAATTTTCAATGCCAATACCAGGATGTTGACATCTACCTAGATGTAATTCTGTTCCATTACAACCCACGTCATCTAACCATATTTTCCCGGTTCCTTTACCAAATGTAGCTCTTGTTTTCGGTATGGCGTTTGTCTGTGACCTGGAGGTTACATTAATGTATGTACATTTTTTATACATAATATATACTTAATTATATAAATAAAACATTAGTATGGATATGCTACTCCTCTTTAATTTAAGCAACGTTTCAATTGCATACAGGAAATGATTCATTTCATTGCTTGAAAAAGATTCCTGTATGCGAATTGAAACGTTGCTTAAATTAAAGAGTAGTATATCTATAATAGTGTTTTACTTATATAAAAATTGAACGCGTTTTCAAGAGCAAGATCAATAACTCATACTATATATTTATCGATTTTTGTTATTTTCAAAAGGGTTTATCCTTTGTGGATAACAAACACTCATGTCAAGTTTCGTCCAAATCTGTCAAGAGTTGTGCCTTCCAGAGTGTTTACGAGCAAAAAATTGAAAGCGTTTTCAAGAACAAGGGCAATAACTCATACTAAATATTTTTCGATTCTTATGATTTTCAATAGGGTTCATCCTTGGATGATTACGCACACACGCCTGTGTTGACAAGCAATTGTGGACGGACGGACGTGGGTGACGGCAATATACGCCCACGTGAAATGGGGGCGTATAAAAATAGCGGTTTGAATATGATCGATTTAATTTATTTCTAAATGTCTATCATTTTTCAAAATGTATTAGATGGTATTGACAACTTGATAAAGAAAATATATAGTAAAGCATTAGATATAATTAAACCTAAGTATGTATATGAAAACTTGATAAAACGTGAATGTTTAACTCCTAAGTCTATTGAAAAGTGGCAAAATCTCCCAGAAAAAACAAATCGATTACAAATATGTCAAAGATTTACAATGAACTTAACCGTTTTCTCTAATTCAAAGCTACGAAATTGTTATTATAAGTATTTACATAGAGTAAAATACACCAATTAAAAACTGTTGAAATGTAAATTAACAGAATGCTCACTTTGTACATTCTGTAACTCCTGTCCTGAAACGATTGAACATCTTTTTTTCTTTGTCCTTATGTTCCATGTGTATTAGGTAAATTAAATGAAATTTTATACATAAGTGAAATTAAAATTAGATTATCTCCAGAATATTTGCATTTTGGAATTGTGGACAAATCGAAATTTAAAACTAATCCACAGTGGCTCTTTGCAATGCAAACCATTTCATGTAATATTTGGCAAAATATTATATTTACAAATGTAAACTTTCAAGTATTAACCCTAGTAAACTTGACTTTTTGTAGATATTTAAATAAAATAAAGAACTTAGAATTAAACACATTCCCTGATTCAAAAGTTTACACTGAAAAATGGAAAAATATACAAGCTGTCACTATACTTCTTAAACAACGTGTTTTTATATATTAAAATATACGGGATCTATAGTTTGTTATATTTGAAACTCTACCTATATTTATGTTTGTATGATATATACGTATCACTAAGTCACATTTCATTTTATAATGTAACATGTATAATTTGTAAGTGTACCTGTTTAATACAGAATATCTAAAAAAGAAGAATAATCTTCATATGAGAAACATCCACTAGGTCTTTCTCGACTTACATATTGTAACCTAATTGTTGACATACAACTGAGGCATCATTTTCATCCCATCTATCATCACATACAGTTCCCCATTCACCATTATAATAAACTTCAACTCTTCCTTCTCTTGAATTTGATCCATTAACAAGTCTAACATTAACGAGCCATTCGTTGTTAGTTTTTGCTGCATAATAGAACACAATAGAACCTTTCAGTGAGCTTTTCCGTGAAATTATAACTTGGATCAGGTTTATGTGGTTTGTCAATTTGGCAGAATAACCAACTATGACTAGCATAACTGTTATTCAGTATTGTAGATATTAAAATCTTACAAAATGTTAATATAACTGAGAATCATGTTACACATTAAAATCAGATTCTTATCACTTTGTGAAACCGGTTATCAATAAATATCAAACAATGAAAATTTACTCATATATATACCATTTTTATCTTCTTTATTTGATTTTAATTGTATTCAGTTTTGTCAAATTCGTCATGTGGCATTGAAAGAATCAGATGATATACCAAGTTCATTTATGCTTTTTCCACAAAAAAATGTATAAGTTAGTTAAATAACAACTCACTCGCACATATAACTCCAGCATCTTCATTATGACCACAGTTTTCATTACCAAGACCAGGATGTTTACATCTACCTAGATCTGATTCTGTTCCATTACAATCCACGTCATCTAACCATATTTTCCCTGATCCTTTACCAAATATGGCTCTTGTTTTCGGTATGGCATTTGTTTGTGACCTGGGTGTTACATAAATATGTGTGAATAATTCTAAATATCATATACTTGATGTTTATTTATTTTCTATTTCGGGGAAGTGCGGTATGGGGGGGGGGAGGGTGGTAGGGGTGTTTTCTCATAAATTTGAAGCTATGTAATACCAAAACACACTTGAGGCACAAAAACTACAAAAAAATACTTTTTCATTTCTTTTTTTTTAAACGTACAAATGTCAAAAATCCAGTCAAAATGCAGTCATTTTGTAAAATCAGGATTACTTGACATATAATCTTAAAAAAATTATTTTATGATTTATGGAACTGTTTTTTGATTTGTTTGCTCAGACATAAATTGATCTGACTGTCAGTTGGAGTTCGGGGGAGAGTAGGCGAACGCCGCTGTCCTGGCAAAATTTCCGTTATTGGTCTCTGCATGACGTTGCACGTCTCAAATAGCCCAATTAGGTGCGGAAAAGTAGGACGTAAAACCCTGTGTATTTTATATGCCACTATATTATGCTTTTCAACCACATGCTTAGAGTCTGGTGTAACAGCAATGTCTGCCTCTACAGATATAAGAGTTCTATCCTGAAATCGCAATTATGATGGAGGTGAACAGTTGCCCAACTTGATCTGTACGATATGAATACTGCTTTTGTGCAGCACCAGTTAGAGGTTCATCTCTTCTCAGCTATCTATATGAACATTCATATGGATCAAACATCATCAAACATGAATTAGCTCCACGATTCTTAAAGATATTAAAGTTATTACAGCATAGGATTGTTGGCTAAACAACTGATTGCAGACTACTGTTTAAAACAAAAATACTTTTTCTGGCAAGTTTGATTGTTAACTCAGTAAGAGAACCAGAGAACTCTTTATCGTAAACACCACCCTTGAAAAGATAGCTTGCCAGGCAAGGTAACATACGCTCACCGGCAGCTGTCAGAAATGATCATACAGTCTTTAGTTACTAAAAACGATATAATGCATTTGTTGTTTGAATTCATTGATGTATATTTTGACTGTTGGTTATTTATGCTGAGTTTTTCCACAATATTTTTTACAATCAATATCAATAACCCAAATACACCAAATTTCATTTATATAGAATAAAAACTATAGTCGCTTTTGTGCTCACACACAAATTTTGACACGTATTGACTAAGTCAAGAACAATAACTCAAAAAACGTTCATCGAAAAATCTTCAAATTAGAATTGGTCCAAGATTTCATCAAAATAAATGATAACACCAAATTCCATTTAAATCGGAGTCTCTGTAGTCTCACACACACGTATTGACTAAGTCAAGAGCAATAACTCAAAAAACATTCATCGAAAAATCTTCAAATTCGAAATCTCATCAAAATAAATGACCACAGCAAGTTTCATTTAAATCAGATAAAAACTGTTATCTCTATTGTGCTCACAAGAAATGTTAACAGACGGGACGGACGGACAAGGGCGACGGCAATATACGCCCACAATTCCATGAGGGCGTATTAAAAGGGTGGTTGGGGATCAAGTTAATTCGCTTAGAACAATTCAATCACATTGTTGATATTCAGAACATATTTTATTCTAAACAGTAACATTGGGTTGACCCCTGTGCATTGTTCTTTTATTATAGACGTTAATGGTCTTCAACTTGTCATTATTATTTAGCTTGGTATCTGTGAGTTCTACCATTCATAACACAATTTGATAAATTGGAAATGGTTGCCATTTTGGAATTCGGGAATTTTATTTCATCATTTTTTTAGTTTTAAAATTTTTAGGTAACTATTTATTGAATTCGCATGCGTGACTTTTTATATATACTAATACCGCAGGGAAAGGCAGCAATTCACCTTTTAAAAGCCCTCATTGTATTATAGCTAGTCACAGAGTAAAATACCAGAGAGAGCTGTGATATATGGCCTTCAAAAGACGACTTTAGGCCTTTATCTTTGCTATTAACGTTATATAATTTATGGTTCTTATTCGTGAAACGGGAAACGAAGAGGATAGGGTCTGAGAATTAAACTTTGTGTTGATGAATATACCAATTTTTCTAAGAATATCAAAAAAAGAAGAATAATCTTCATATGAGAAACATCCGCTAGGTCTTTCTCGACTTACATATTGTAACCTAATTGTTGACATACAACTGAGGCATCATTTTCATCCCAATTATCATCACATACAGTTCCCCATTCACCATAAAAAACTTCAACTCTTCCTTCTCTTGGATTTGATCCGTTCACAAGCCTCACATTAATCGTTGTTGCTAAATAAAATATAATGAAATATCAGTTCCGTGTAACTAAAACTTACGGATTGTGTTCACATTTTTACAAGTAGATAGAACAACTTCGTCTAAAAATCACATTTCTTTTCTTAAGTGAAAGGCCACTGAACGAGTTGGTATAAATCCAACCAACCTACATACTACACCAACCGGATACCCGGAAGTAAAAAATGCAAAAAATGGGCATTACTTATATCATGGACAAATTCAACAATAATCCATCCTAATATGAGAAATGCTAATGTTCACACATTGTTGTACATCGGTTCAGACTTACACCAACCACCACAGAAACGTAACATCATTCTCGTTTAAGCGTTCGTTTTCAATCGGACATGTAACAGGCTACCTTTTTAATGGGACATCAATACGAAAGGAGAGAAAATTGTCTTGATTATCTTGATTTAATGGAAATGGAAATCTTGGAAGCTATTGCCGAAATGGATAATATATAAAGAACAAAATAAAAATCAGAAGTGCGCATTAGTTGGATGGTAGTATCGGTTCGAAACACGGATATTTCATAATAAATTCAATTCATTTTAATACGTAAATGCGAACTGTGTGAAAAATGTTAATTTATGTATCCTTTCCACTTGCTGTTTGTGGCTGTTTATGGACTTCGACATGACTATACTGTCACAAACTCACAATTCGTGTTGCACAAGAAAATGTAAAACGATTGAGGCATGGAAGGTACCTACCTCATATATTCGTAATGTGGATGGTATAAAAAAGGAAAAAAAGTCAATTTACCTGACGCCCGAATTAATATCAATCGCGAACATGCAATTACAAACAGAATCCACCTTAGAGCCATGACTTCATAGTGAATATCTCTTAAAACGGTGTGAAGGATTTAACCAGGAAGCATTCTTTTGCTAATGAAATATGACACATACCAGGACGTCACTCATAATGCATTTGCTGTTAGATAATGAAAAGATATTATACAATTATACCGCATGAATAACTTTAAATTGCATGGACACATATGTATAGTATATAGAAAACACCATTGTGGGGTTTTAAAGGGTATATGTGACAAAGCGATTTATTTTGAATTAGCCAGTATTCAGGTTAAATCATGATATAACTCACACTAGTTTTCTAATTGACCAATTACATTATTATACAATAAATCTAGCCAATAAAACTATTTACATTCGTTAATCAGTGATAAAAATGACAAAAATGTAGAATGAAATTGAATTAAACTTTTAGCAAGGTTGAGAGGTGTTTGTCATATTTTATATTAAATTATAATCACTTTTCAATTAATTTATTGTTTTATTTGTAGAACCGAAGGTATGTTTGTGACTCGTTGCGCCATTATGCCAGAACATAGCATGCTCCAGACTGCAATACCAAATCAGTTTTTTATTGCATTAATCAGATTTTAAAATATTTGATGAATAATTAAATTAAATAAAACAAGTTGATGCGAAATTATCTAAAACGATTTTACATTTTAGACTTAAAGCACACTTTCATTTGACGTATCAAAACATGTATATGTATAACATTTACCTATTTGGTAATGCTTACAGTCGCTAATTTTATTAGTATAATTCCTTGCACTTCGGAAATAGAAACATTTGGACTTGAATAATCTTTTACCCATCTTAATCGATTTTTGTTTTTCAGAGTAAACAATCATATATGTATTTGCACCATACACATTTCACGTACGTATTCTGTACCAAAATTCGTATAATGGTATAATGGTCCTTCAACGGTGTCTGTTTTTTTTTTCTTGTTTTAGGGGGGTCGGGGGGGGGGGGGGG